GCGCCCAATAAATGGGTAAAAATTGGTTGAGAAGGTTTAAAAATAAAAAGATTAAAATTTGACTGTATTTTATTGACTGATGACACCCTGTTGACAAAGAAAATTCAATTTGAGTAAAAAAAAGTCTAAAATTAGATGTTTATAGACTCAATTAAATTTTATTGAAAGTTTAATTGAATCTATGAAGAGTTTGATTACATGAAAAATTGATTTTGAAGTCAACTTAGGCTTTAATTGGAGGAAATTAAAATTATGGGGTCAAATTATAATTTTTAAAAGTTAATTTTGTTAAACTAGGGGCTTAGTTGCATAAATATTGAAGTTTCATGGTCAATTAGGGACTTAATTTAAGAAATCCAAAACCAAGCACCAAAATGAAGAGACTCAATTGAAGAAATTAGAAGTTTATTAATTAACTAAGGGTCAAATTACATATATTCAAGATCAAGAACCAAAGTGAAAAAGACGACCAACTTTAGGGCCGTTGTTGGATTTTTGGCAAGGATGCAATTGAATCGATTTTTAAAATCAAAATTAAAATTGAGGAATTGATCAAACAAATTACAAATTGAGGATCAATGTGAACTCTAATATTTTTTTGGCCACCTTTTCATTTAAATGAAATGGTGCGTTTTGACCAAAACAACGTCTTTTCATACATTGTTAAAAAAAAACTCAGAACGATGTTGTTTTAAACAACACCATATGTCTTCTTCTTCTTGGACATGCAGAGAAACAGGGGAAATGAGTTGCATTCCCCTGTTTTCACCGACTTTTCCACTGCCATTTCTCCCTCAAAAAGATACTAACCCAACCAATGGCCTACAACCCCCTAGCTGGCGCCATCGTCCACCCTGCCCTATCCCCTAATCGGACAAAGGCAGGGCATTTTCACCGCCCTTCTTTACCTAAAAATATAAAGGCAGAGAAAAGCAAGAAAAGAAGAAGAAAACAGACCGAACATGAGAGGGAGAACAAAACGTGAGAGGAGAAGAGGAGAGAGAGAAGATAAAGAAAAAAACCAAACAAAGAAAAAGAAGAAGAAGAAGTAGAGAAAAATAGAAGGAAAACAGGAGAGAAGAGAGAAGGACCGCCATTTCACTGCCGGCACCTCTGCCACCACGAGCACCACCATGTGCCTTCACAGCAACCACCATAGGTCAGTTCCCCCACCTCTCTCTTCTTCCTTTTTCTCCTTATCCAGCCTCGGCCCCGTATGCTAGTTATAGTATAATGGGCTAGCCCTGGCCCATTTTGAATGTTGGGCCGGTGCCGACCCTTTTTGTTTTGTTCTGGGTTGGTGCTGGCCTGTTTATGTTGGGTCGAAGCAGGCCTATTTCATTTTATGTTGGGCCAAAGAAAACCTGTTTCATGTCGGGCCGATGTCGGCCCATTTTCATGTTAGGCCTGTGCTAGCTTAATTTGTTGTATGTTGGGTCAGTGTTGGCCCATCATTTTTTTATGTTGGGCCGCACTGGCCCGTTTCAAATAAATATACCATAAAAATACAAATCTAGTATAAAAATATCTGGTTTTTGTCAAAACTTTCACAAATACAAAAAATCAAAAAAATATTTTTTGTGTATACGACTAAGTGTCTCAAAGCTAAAAAAAATCATATTATAATTTTTATACATCAAAAACAATGTTTTAACATGCATTTTGACTTTAATGAGCAGCTTATTAAAGTCAAAAGAACATTGGCTAAAATTTTAAAAATAACAAAAATTTTATTTTGTTTTGCCTCTTAGTATCTGGGGTATGACATTACATGTAATGCGCATTCCAGATATTTAATTTTTTTGAACAATAAAACGGTTAGGTTTTACTGTATTAAGATAAGAACCTCCTTATTGAGGAGGGCTTATCTTGAACTTTAGACAGACCAACAATTAAAAACTACAACACAACTTTAGATTTTATCAGACAAAATAATGCAACCTCCCTTAAGTAGGATGTTCAAGCAACAAATAAATAGCATGCAAAAAACTTGCTTAAACTATCTCAAATTTCATATAAGAATTAAATTTTAAAATATAGAGGAATATCAATCTAACATATACATTGTTTAAGCAACTTAAAACAAAAAGTAACATGATAAACAAAAAGAGTATGGAAGTTCAACTTTTGAGTGAGAAGTAAAGTCCAAGCAACTTTTAACAATTAAAAAATAACAAATATTTATCATTGGCCAAATAGTTTCCTCCACCAGATTACCAGATTGTATATATATATATATAACTCCTAGATATAAATTGAAAAACTTATGCACGTGTTTAATTAAACAACCTAATAATCATTGTGAAAAGTAATGAAAAAAAATATCAACAATAAACAAAAATGAAATTAAGAAAACCAAGTAAAAAAATAAAGATCAAGATATCTCACATCGCAACACAGGCAATTTACATGGTCATATTTAATAAATTCTTCTATCAAAATAAATTTGTAATAGAAAAACACATAAAATTTATAATAAAAACTAACACACATATAAAATTTATTGAACAATAATTAAAAAAACAATACAAGGCTGCATATATAAAAAATCTTATAAAAAAATTAGTTTTAAAAAATAATTTATATAAAATTAAAAGAAAACAAATGAATTATACATACCTCTCTAAAAATTAAACACACTCAATATTATTTGAAAATAATTACAATCTAATTAAAATATAAAACATAAATTTATTTGAAAAAATATACATAAATAATGCATTATTTAAAAAAATTAAAAAAAGAATATAAAAAAAAGGAACCAAGTTGGATGCTTATGGGTTTAGTAAGCCAAACCTAACGCTTGGTCCAATGAAGCAATAGCTAGCGCGCAAGCTTGATGTTCTGCAACACCAAGCCTTAGCATGGGCCTTTTTTTAAAGTTAAATAGGGCAGACAATGCATCGTCCACTCCAAATATTTCAAATTAAATGATGCGTTACTTGCTTCACCCAAAACATGGTCCATCATTGTTACACTTAAAATCCTATTTTCAACCCAAAACACTTAGAAAACATCATAGAAATCTTGTTAAACCATGGTCACCAAAAAGCCAACAAACGTTCCCAAACCCTGAAAATCACCCAAAACAAAAATTCTTTTAGAGTTTAGATTTGTTGTTTTAGTTGTTATTAAGGAAAACACGCATAAATGTAACTCTTTTCATCATATGGAACTTTTTAACATAAAAATCAATCGTTATGGTGGCTGTATTCTTTCCTAATAATCACCTTTTCTCTTTAGGCCATAATTTAGTGACTCCCTCTCTCTCCTCCCAACAAAAAGGACCAAAAAAAGGAAAATGAAGTTAAGTATCAAAAGATATTGTTTTGAAATTTAAGTGACTGGTTACCTTATATTTAAAAAATATAAGGCATTAAAATGAATGTTTCAATGAAACTTTTAACCCGCCCTCTATGTTACCCGAGATTTTTACTTTAATCCCTTAGCTTTCAATTCAATCCTCCTTCTTAAAAAAATATACAATTTGGGGCTAATTTAGGTTCCAAATGGTCAATTCTCGTAAAATAAAAGTTTGAGGACTGAAAATGTTCAAAAAATGCATTGCTTTATGAGAGGGTGCACAATGATTTAGTTACAATAAAAGGCTAATGTCTTTTAGCTTTAAACTAGTTATGTGACTTAAGCTCTGTTGCGGGTCAAATATTTTTATTTTTCTTAAAAAATATATATATAGGTTTTTTCAACATATTTTTTATAGTTTAAAAAAATATAACAAATCCAAAAGTTTATGCATATATGTAATCAAATAAATTAAGAATTATATGCGCTAAGAAATAAATAAAAAATCTTTAATGACACTGATTAGTACTTAAAAGTGCATTTTTATCATGGTTTTATATCATCATTTTGCACTTGAAATATCAATAACTCCTTAACTAAAATATGTTTTATAATAATGTATCTAATAATATAAGATACCTATAATTTATGGTAAATATCTATTTTTAATGCAGGCCTATCACATAAATGAAAGGATTGATTGATGACTTGAAGAACTTAAATTGCAAGGATAAAGAGATGGCCAAACTTAGAAAAGAGATGTCGGTGCAATCCAAACCGGAACACTGTTCGGTAATTGGGTCATATCTAGAGCTATATATCTCAGATTTAGGTCCAATTTATATGGATGGAAAGGTAAGACATAGGCCTACAACTTTCATATGGAGCCCAAGATCAAAAAAGGCCATTATCAAGTCCAAATTGTAGCAACAACAAAGAAGCCCGAATCTGTCTTCCAGCCCGAGCACTGTTCGGTATTTTGGCCATATCTAGAGTTCTAGAAGTCCAAATGAGCTGAAGTTTTTACACAAGAAAGCTGAGACAATTGCCTACAACTTTCATGTTTACAACTGGCTCCAATTTTGACGTTATCAATGACGTTTTGGGCAGACAAGAGAAGATAAGGATTGTCACCAAGTCAAAAGTTGGTCACCCACTTATCAATTAGTCATCAAATCAATAGTTCCCATTTTTGGCCTATAAAAGGAGGCATTTGCCATGCATTTAGGCATCTTGATTTCCAGATCAAGATCATGCTCTTCCTTTCTCTCTTTGTATTTTTTATTATTATTATTATTATTATTATTATTAGTACTACTAATATTACTACTACTACTATTATTATTATTATTGTTGTTATTGTTGTTATTGTTGTTGTTTATAATTTGTACAATTAACCTCCTTGTGGTTCGACCCCGGTCTTGCCGGGTTATTTATTACTTCGACACTCCTGCACTTGGGAGAAGACATCAACCTTTTAGTCGTGTCAGACACCTGAAAAAAAAACTTGAAAAACTGAGAGATAGATGTAGATAAAGATATTTAATCTTGAAAAATAAGACATTACATTTATTGAATAAAAAAAAGAAACAACATATAAGGCTATACATATTAAAAATATCATTTAAAAATATTTTTTTAATTTAGAAAAACATAGTTTATCTATATAAAATATAAAAACAAAACCATAGATACACCAAAAAAACCTTAACGCATAATAAAAAAATTAATATTATTTAAAAGAGGTCATATGAAAATAATAAAAGAGAGAAGATTTTGTCCATTTTTTTAGTTTTTATTTTTTTAACAGATCACATGATTTTAGTTTTTTTCAATTGTATTATTTAAAGTTATATTTTCAAGGTAATTATGCTAGACCTAAGGCAACCATGCCAACCATAGACGATGCGTCACCTAACGAGACTGATAACATGTTGTTTATTTTTCCAAATCCAGTGACTGGAAAATCAGAACTTATACTCTTTTGATCCAAAAATCTTTTTGCAACCTATATGTAACCCACAGTACCTATTAAACACCCTAAAAATCATAACAAACCTATTTATGACTTTAATAAAGCCAAAACACTGCCTCAAAAATAGAATTCAACTCGAAATAAAAAATCAACCCAAGTTTAGATCTGTTTTTTCATGAACTTTTAAGATACAAAAACACTTAATATATATTTTTCTCATTAAGGCCCCATTTGTTTGCTGGAAAGTAGTTTCTTTTTAAAAAGTGAATTTCAGGAAAGTGAATTATTTTTCGCTGTTTGGCAGTGTAATGAAAAATAAGTTGGAAAACACTTTCTAATGTTTGGTTATGTCATGAAAAATGAGTTAGGAAATAACTTATTAATGTTTTTTTTTTAAATTTATTAAAATAATGAGGAACAAATCTTACAAATTAAAAAGTTGAATGAGAATGAAATTGAAAAAAATTATAATTTTATAAATTATCTCAAATAAAATAAATAATAATCAAAATAATAGAGACCAAATCTAAAAAATAAAAAAATTGAAAGAAGTTAAAATAATAATAATAAAATTTTTATAAATTATTTCAAATAAAATAAGTTACAATAAAAAAAATAAGGATCACATTTGATAAATAAAAAATTTCAATTAAAAATAAGAACCAAAATTGATATAAAAATTAAATTTTAAGGGATCAAATTAAAAAATAAATATTTAAAACAAAATATATATATAACAATAAAAAATTTGAGGACCAATTTGATATAATCAGTAAATAATATGATATTTCTAAATTTTTTATAATTTCTGAAAAGTGTTTTCCATCCAAAATAAAAGGGAAAATACTTTCCTGCCAAATTTGTTTTTGACTAGAAAATATTTTTTGTTGACTGAAAAATATTTTTCATTGACCTACTTTTCTAATTATAAACAAATATAAGAAAGTTTGAAAACTGATTTTTTGAAAATTACTTCATGAAAAACAAACACAGCCTAAATGAAATAGTTTGACATAAATATTTTTTATTTTAATGGTTTAAATTAGTATCAATAACAAATTTTTATTTTTACCGCTGAAAGCTAATAATTCTTTATTTATTTATTTATCAATTAAAAAAAAAAATTATACTAAAATAATATTGGAATAATTTCAAGGGGTCAAAATTATAGAATTTGCGTGATAAAATTTGTTAGATTTCGTGCATGTTTCATATAACATATGCTGAGTACTATATTCTTTATGCTGATTTGCTTTATCCCGGCAAAATTGTCTTTGCAAGCTAGGTAAAGGATCATGGTGGGATTTAAGAATAGGTACATGGTAATGAAAGTTTTCTTGGATCCAAATCGACATATTGGAGTGGATGATCCTATTATAATAACACAATATAATGTTTCAAAAGCGATTAAAGACAGTATTCTTGTAAACTTTGGGGAGTGTGGTTTGGCTTCATCCCTTGGATCGTTCCAAGGTACGTGATTTGTTGCCAGTTCAAGTTTTCCGCTATTTGCAAACTTCCCTTTACCTCACTGTAAAATCTTCTCTCACCCTTCTAAATCTGGGTTATTTGCAGTCAAGTACGTGAATCCGATTACCAAGCTATGTATCATCAGAACCTCACGAGAGGAGACCACAAGATCTGGGATGTAATTACCATGGTTAGGCGCATTGGTAACTGCCCACTGCTATTCAACCTGCTAGATCTAAGTGGTGAGTTTCTTCCTTTTCTTCTCCCCTCTTTCCTTTTTGAGCCGACCTAAGTGGTAAGCTGAAAACTGTTCATTAGCCAATTGATAATGAAGAGAACTAGAACAAAGAAAAAAAATTAGTTAGACCCGCAAACTTCCTGCCATCTGTTATCAATTTGATGTCCATGTGGGTTCATGTGTTTTTGCAACAATATAATCTTTCAGTTGATCTAAAAAATAAACTATTTTCAATTGATCACAATGTTCCAATATGTTTTATTCTGATTTTACTTCCTTTGCGGGCATTGGATCTTTTACTCAGCTTTTCTCTTTAATTTTGCTTGTCCTTGTTGTTCTAGGAAGTATCAAGGCCTGTAAAGTTGCTGCCTTGAAGAGTGATGAAATGAAATTTGAGCACTACAAACATGCAGCTGGAGCACCTCTCTCTGCTGATGTTAATCAGCACATGCAAAACTGTCTTGAAAAGATCAAGATTTTGGAGCACTGAGCCATGTGTTGGTCGTAACCTACTGGCCTGCCAAATTTTGGAGCACTGCTTTGTTTTGCACAACTCATGAACAGTTTCAAACTGGCGATTTCTGATCCATCCCTTTCAGCTTTTCTGTCTTTGGGGTTGTTGAATCTGAGATGTTTGAAATCATACTAGCTGATCCTTGTTTCGGAGCGTCATTTCAAGAACAGAGTGCCTGTGAAGAACCTTTGAGATCCTCTGTACCTGGATCTTGTGCATCCTTTATCAAAGCAGCAGCTTTGTGCTTTTTTTTTTTTTTTTTTTTTCCAATTTTGAACTTGTGTACTTCTGCCATATCGTTTTACATTTTGAAGGTGAAGTTTTATCTGGCAATCATTAGCAAAAGCTGATACACGTTTGGGAGTCCACATCTAATAATGATTATTATGAACGCTACTGAAATGTTATTGACCACAATTTATCAAATCACAGAACAATTTATTCCAAGAGTTCGATCTTTCTTTGATATACATTCTCTATTCCTAATTTCTGTAAAACAGAAAAAATGAGTGGACAAATGAAAATCTCTCCCACTAGTTAATTTGGAGAGCTTACTTAGCAGTAAAGATCAGTGTGGCTTAATGACCATCACTATAAACCTGAGAGATTGTCACTGTACGTGATCATAAGTTCAAGACAGGTCTGAAAGAGAGGAGCACGCGTCTCACACGAGTGAAGTGGCGTGCGCGTGCCGACTCCACTTTATATACAGCCGCACATATAATATCATTCCAGAAAGAGAGAGAGCGTTAAATTGGGCATGCCTCCTCAGTTGAACTTGAAAGGTCAAGCAAACAGAAAAAAAGAAAGAAAGAAGCATCTAGTTGAGGCGAGGCGGTGAGACTACTACCAATCGGAAAGCTCTTTATCATTCTCTCTGATCTTAATATTTCTCAAGGTATTCTTCACTGATTCAGCAATTCATTTTTCTTTCATTTCATCGGTATTTGTATTATTTTAGGGCTTAGGTTTTGGTCTTGGTTGTTTTTATCTTTCTCCATGATCTTTTCCCTTCTCTATTTTTCTTTTATTTGCTAGTTGAACCCATTTGTTTGTTCTTGTAATCTAGTATTATTTGTTCTTTTTGTCGAATTTCTATGATCCAGGGTTCTTACAGCCGATTAAATTGTTATCCTTCTATTTTATTTACTGATCAGAGCTGTCGATCTTGATTACTTAGTTTCTAAAGATTCATGTAGGTTAATGATGAACAATTAATTTAGGCTTCTGAGGTAGTCCCCTGCTGAACAGTCATTTCTACTGCAGAAAAGTGAACAAATGTGTGCAAAAGGGGAAAAGGAGCAGGCTGGGTATATGGGAAGTAAACTATTGAGCGGGCTGGGTGAATGGGAAATGAACCATCGATTGTTGTTTTAACTTGGCCCAGGAATGTATCGTTCTGGCTTCAGCATTTAGTTTCAAGTAATCTATGATGATAGCATTCTTTGTCCCATTTGTAATGGCTATAACCATCACATTTCAGTTCCAAATGTGGTATTTTTTACTTATTTTAAATGGATAGGGATCATTAGAAGACTTCTTTAATAACTACAATATACAATAATTGGTTTCATTGGTTTTCTTGATTCGGCCAGAAATTTATTGAAAGCTGTTGAAGGTTTATGTTCTTGTGTGTACATGTGTATTTGTGCTCAGGAAATGTCTTTCCATGAATAAAAGACAAGCACCTACCCCAGTTTTATAGGAATAAACTCTTAGACCAATGGAATAATCTAAGACAATGGAATGAGTCTATTAATGAGTATATAACACAGTTTAATGATTACATGATAAGATGTGCCATAAAAGAGAATGAAGCCATGACTTTGCGTGGATTTTGTAAAGGCTTGAATAATGATCTTAGAAGAGAAGTTGTATTTCAAGATATATCTATCCTTGACAAAGCCTGTATCTTAGTTCAAGACTGCAAGTTGGCCACGAAGAATTAGTGGATGAATTGTTATGACCTTATAGTATCCTTACTAGGTCCCAATTCAGAAATAGTGATTTTTTGTTAAGTGCTCCACCCCACAGACCTAATTCTAGTAGTGCCCTATGAAATTGTTAATAATCTGCTTATTCATTGTCATTTGCCTGTGGAGCTTACTGCCATGAGTATTTTTTACCACCAGGTTGTGTGAGCTCTTTAGGTTCGCATTTAGAAAGCATTGCAAGGCTTTTTCTAAGTATATTCAGAAGCCTTGTGGTTTGCTTCCTCGTGCTCTTTTCTGTTGATTTGAAGTGGAGATACTGAAGTTTTTGAAGGTGAGGATACAATTATTTGTTATAAAACATCTCATCACAAAGCTTTTATGGAGTTAAGATGGAATAATGCCAGGTTTGCCCTTTCTTTTACTTGTGAACTAATGTTTGATCTTAATTAAATATGGTTTAATAGTTTTTGGCATAGTTTCAAGGTGGTCTATAGATAGTTATTAAATGATTTGTTTTTTTTTACTTTTCTTTTGGTTTCGGTGAAGTTAACTTTGCATTTATAAATTCAAAATGATGATTGCTGGAATGGTTATATTAAAGTTAGAGATGATGAGTTTGGCTGACAGTTTACTCAATATCTGATTCTCTGTGCATTGCACTGATTTTAAGGTATCGATAACATCAGTGAAGTTCACTGCCTCCTGCTTTAATTGACTTCTGGAATTTTCTTTTTGCTTGTGTATGGAATGTGATTTGCTGTGGCATTTGTGTGTATAGTTAATATCCATGACACATAGCATGTGAATTCTTTTTTGACTTTACATTCCCCCTAGTAGCATTTCTGTGATGATAAAAAATAAGTGGATATAACTAACTAGGTCACTAACAATGTCGCTAAAAACTTGGAAGCATCCTTATTTTGATTCTCTCCTCTGGCGAGCACAAGCTTATCATCATTTTTTGAACACCCAGTGCATGTGAGCCATGTCATCAAGTGCTAATCCTGTTAGGCACCTCATTTTTCCTTCTATCTGAGCTTTACTTATCAGAACATTCAATTACATTAGAGAGAGAACTTAAAGGCTCAGAATGGGACTATGTTGCTAGCAATTAAGTTTAAATTCAGAGTTGATTGCTTACTTCACATTATATGTTGTTATTTCAGCTTGGGCCTTGGAGTTTCTCCATCCACCTTATTTGGTGATAATACATTTTTCTTATTGACAGAAATTCGGTGCCGTTGTTTTATTTTAATTTTATTGGTTCAGGGTTGTGAGTCTACTCATTTACTTTGGTTGTTTGGCCATTCATGGTTTAGTTCATTTACTTCTCTCCTAATTTAGTAATTTCTCCTTTTCAGGGTTTAGAATGTTCCGGGTACATGTAAACTAGTCTTTCCTGTGCATAAAGTCCTTCTCAGTGATAAAATTTGTTAGATTTCGTGCATGTTTCATATAACATATGCTGAGTACTATATTCTTTATGCTGATTTGCTTTATCCCGGCAAAATTGTCTTTGCAAGCTAGGTAAAGGATCATGGTGGGATTTAAGAATAGGTACATGGTAATGAAAGTTTTCTTGGATCCAAATCGACATATTGGAGTGGATGATCCTATTATAATAACACAATATAATGTTTCAAAAGCGATTAAAGACAGTATTCTTGTAAACTTTGGGGAGTGTGGTTTGGCTTCATCCCTTGGATCGTTCCAAGGTACGTGATTTGTTGCCAGTTCAAGTTTTCCGCTATTTGCAAACTTCCCTTTACCTCACTGTAAAATCTTCTCTCACCCTTCTAAATCTGGGTTATTTGCAGTCAAGTACGTGAATCCGATTACCAAGCTATGTATCATCAGAACCTCACGAGAGGAGAACCAAAAGGTCTGGTCTGCAATTACCATGGTTAGGCGCATCGGTAACTGCCCAGTTCTGTTCAACCTGCTAGATCTAAGTGGTGAGTATCTTCCTTTTCTTCTCCCTTCTCTCCTTTTTGAACCGACCTAAGTGGTAAGCTGAAAACTGTTCATTAGCAAATATGTTTTATTGTGATTTTACTTCCTTTGCGGGCATAGGATCTTTTACTCAGTTTTTCTCTTTAATTTTGCTTGTCCTTGTTGTTCTAGGAAGTATCAAGGCCTGTAAAGTTGCTGCGTTGAAGTGTGATGAAATGAAATTTGAGCACTACAAACATGCAGCTGGAGCACTTCTCTCTGCTGATGTTAATCAGCACATGCAAAACTGTCTTGAAAAGATCAAGATTTTGGAGCACTGAGCCTTGCGTTGGTCGTAACCTACTGGCCTGCCAAATTTTGGAGCACTGCTTTGTTTTGCACAACTCATGAACAGTTTCAAACTGGCGATTTCTGATCCATCCCTTTTGGCCTTTCTTTGTCTTTGGGGTTGTTGAATCTGAGATGTTTGAAATCATACTAGCTGATCCATTTTGTTTTGAAGCAACATTTCAAGAACTTGTCCAGGTAGAGAGCCTGTGAATAACCTTTGAAATCATCTGCACCTGGATCTTGTGCATCCTTTATCAAAGCAGCTGCTCTGTGCCTTGTTTTCGTTCTGAACTTGTGTGCTTCTGCCATATCGTTTTACATTTTGAAGGTGAAGTTTTATCTGGCAATCATTAGCAAAAGCTGATACAGGTTTGGGAGTCCACATCTAATAATGATAATTATGAATGCTACTGCAATGTTACTGAACACAATATGTCAAATCACATGACAATTTATTCCAAGAGATGGATCTTTTTTAATTTGATATGCGTTTTCTATTCCTAATTTCTATAAAACAGGAAAAAATGAGTGGACAGGGAATGAAAATCTCTTCCACTAGTTAATTTGGAGAACTTAGCAGTAAAGATCAGTCTCATAGATTGGAACTGCATTAGTATTGTCGCTGATGTTATGAAGATGGCTTAATGACCATCGCTAAACTGCTGTCGAGCATGCTTTACAAGTGATGGTAAGTTTCCTCTGCGGAAAATGTTTGGAGAGTTTATCCTAAAAGCAAAGCAATGGTGTCATGTAGATGCGTAATCAAGTGTTTGATGTTGGTCGTAGAAGGCAACCTTAATTAGAATGCAAGGATCAGCTAACAAGAACAAATAGCGAAGGATGGTCGAGTTGCTTCCCCAAGGATCTAGATCCAGGAATGCCTTTCTTGTCAATATGTATTTTTTTTTATTTTTTGCTTATGAAAATAAATGCGAACAACAATTCTCATCAATTTATAAATCCTTAGGCAGCTACAAATCATACGTCAGTGGAAAGATGCGTTTGCGTCCGCGTAAGAATCCTACTACTTGCACTGCCAATAACTACTTGAAATTAATCTCACAGGTGTCACTCATCCATCCATCCATGTATAAATATCCCATGAAATCTCTGCCCCGGCCCAGTCTATCTCTCTTAACTGAGTCCACATACAACCTCCCGTGTTAAACTTGAATTCTTTTTATCCCCCCCTCTTCTCTATTCTGCAGCCCGCATCAACAAAATCAGGGAAAATTAAGGATCGAATCAAACTGGCGATTTCTGATCCATCCCTTTTGGCCTTTCTTTGTCTTTGGGGTTGTTGAATCTGAGATGTTTGAAATCATACTAGCTGATCCATTTTGTTTTGAAGCAACATTTCAAGAACTTGTCCAGGTAGAGAGCCTGTGAATAACCTTTGAAATCATCTGCACCTGGATCTGATGGATCATATATCAAAACCCAAGGTTAATGGATTTTGTGTCATGACCCATTTTGCTTTGGTCCTAACTCTCCAAACTCAATTCTCTTAGGTGCATTGCTAAAATCCAAGGTTCTGGGGTTTTAGGTTTCTAAATATTATTATTTGTATTATAAATATTATTATTTTTATTATTAATATTATTTATAAAATAATTAATAAATTTTAAAAAAAATTATTATCAATATTGAAAAAAATTCTTAAATTTTATTTGAAGGGTAAAATTAATAATAATAATAATTAAATTTTTTTAAAAATACTATTATTAGTATTGAAGAAAAACCAATTTTTTTAAAAAAATAAAAAATTTAAAAATTTAAACAAACAAGTTAAATATTAAAATTTATATTATAAATATTATTATTGAATCTGATCTCGTAGATTTAACACTTTCAATTATATATTTTTTTGATATTTTTTTATAAAAATAAAAAGTTTACGCTATGGGCAAAGTCAAGTACTATTTAAAATTAATCTCACAGGTGTCACTCATCCATCCATCCATGTATAAATATCCCATGAAATCTCTGCCCCGGCCCAGTCTATCTCTCTTAACTGAGTCCACATACAAGCTCCCGTGTTGAACTTGAATTCTTTTTGTCTCCCCCTCTTCTCTATTCTGCAGCCCGCGTCTACAAAATCAGGGAAAATTAAGGATCGAAAGGGGAGAACAATTCTCGATTACTCACTGGTTCCTTTGGGACTTGTTACGATGGTGGCATACCACGTATGGCTTCTTTATCGAATCATGAAGCACCCCACCAAGACTGTCATTGGCATCAATGCTATCAATCGCCGCTTCTGGGTTAGAGCCATGATGGAGGTCGACTTATACATATGCATATATCCCTATTCATTTCTTATTTTTCTTGTTATATCTTTCTTGATCATCTTTTCAGGATGAAGCAGTACGTCTGACCATCAGGATTTAATTTTAATGGTGCAGGACGTGTCCAAGAATGGAGTTCTCGCAGTGCAGACGCTGAGAAACAATATAATGGCATCCACCGTCTTGGCATCAACAGCCATCATGCTCAGCTCCCTTATTGCCATTCTCATGACAAGCGGCAGCGGAGACAAATCAGCCAGGAATTTTGTGTTTGGGGACAGGAGTGAGTTTGGGTTGTCTATCAAGTTCTTCTCAATACTGGTGTGCTTCCTGGTGGCATTCTTGCTGAATGTGCAGTCAATCAGGTACTACAGCCATGCAAGTATCCTCGTCAACGTGCCCTTCAAGAAGATGTGCCCTAATCATCGCCATCAGCATCTCAGCACCGAGTATGTGGCGAGGTCCGTGAACAGGGGTAGCTATTTCTGGTCATTAGGGCTGCGTGCCTTCTATTTCTCGTTCCCACTCTTTTTGTGGATCTTTGGGCCCATTCCAATGTTTTTGTCATGCGCTTTCCTGGTATCCATGCTCTATTTCCTGGATATCAACTTGCAAACTGGGTGGGCTGTTGGTGACGAGGACGACGATGGCGGCCTCAAGGACGTGGGGTCCCAAAGTCAAGTTTGATTTCTCTACTAGAGATGTACTTGATGTGTACTAGACTAAAACAACAACAAATAAAGTTAGGGATCTAGGCAGCAGCAGAAAGAAACAAACTGCAATTCATTTTCAATACCAAAGTTGACTTGAATTGCGTTTCAATTTCCAAGAAAAAGAAGAGGCCGTATCTGTGTTTTCTATTGTTATTTTGCAGACTATGCTTGTGTGCGCAACAAGTGTTCCATTTTTATTTTATTTTTTGTTGTTGTTTCGGCCATAAAAAGTCATAACCGAATCAATTTACGCAACAACCTGCAGACACAAAGCCCTTCGCCTATCTTCGGAGGTTAGTCTCTCTTTTATTATTGTGTGTAGAATGCTGAATTTCAGGCACCGCCACAACTTGTTTGTTGGATTGTTGAGGTGCTCCGTTTTAGGTCTTTGAAATTTTTTAAATACCTTTTAACTTTAAATTATTATTATTGTTTTTTAATTGTTTTGTATACTGTTGTTGTTGTTTTTTAATTATTATTATTGTTGAAATTTTAGGTTTTTTATTGTTTTTTAATCATGGTGCGTGCAAGCTGGTCCGGACACCCACATTAATTTAAAAAAAAAAAAAAATTTTAAAAAGTAAAAATATATTATTTCAATACAAACAACCTGTAACACATTTAAAAAAAAAAAAAAGAAGAGGGAAAGGCCGAATAGCCTCTCTAGAACTATCCAGAACAAAAACAAACACGTATCCCATGTAAAATTAAATCCCATTCTTTCCCTCGGGCTATTCTACTTACCCCGAGCACTACGAAATTGGCACGCACGCTTGTCACTCTTGGTTGGCGGAGCAACATTAAAATGGTGAACTAACCTCCACTTTCCATCTGATTCTGTAGTTGGTGGATTTTTATTAGGAGGAGGTAGCTTCTAAAGTGCAGTGGTAGATGCCAAAAGTTCGCATCTTGCATCAATTTTCAAGGAGCAAGGTCAAGACAAGACTCCTCATCCTGCCCTACTCCACTTTCCAGTGCTGTGTGTCGGCAGCACTTCGCAAATCAAGAAAACCTTGTTACTAATGTTTAATCTTTCATTTATAGGATATAAATTCGATGGAGGACACTATTTTAGAAGCAGCACACCCTTCCCACATTGATTTATTATATGCCATTGTTATATTTTAAATCAGCACGCTCTCTGCTTTTGGCAAACTGCATGTCTTAGCATTGATTTTTGCAGTACAAGCCTAGATGCATCAAGTTTTGTTAAAAGAAGACGAACTGAACTGCTTATCATAAGAAAACATACAAATTTAGCAAAAAGAGTTCGATGTTTATATTGCTAACAGTAATATCCACACGGTAAGTGCTATCCAAATAGGAAAAAACAAGAAAAAGAAATAAAGAATACATCATTAACTCTCTTCACCTTTACAGGTGGGCTGTTAACAATTCCAAGAATATTGATTGCACTCACTGACTTCAAAGTTCCTTATGTGAATCTCACTCTCCAACTGTTTCCAGCACTGTTAACAATTCCAAGAATATTAATGCCTTTGTACCTAATATATATATATATATAGAATGCATTCGCTAATTCATAGTATTCGACACAGTACAAGTATAAAATTACATACAGGCATACGTGTGTGTGTTTGCGTGTAACCACTGTTATACTAAGATAATCCACTGTTTCTGGAAAATGACGTAATGGTACTTTTTACCACAAGCAGGGAGCAATCTGTGGATTAAGAAGAAATGCTCTTACCCATGATGCACATGCAGTGTGCTTATTTTCTACCATTCAACGCCAATCTCAGTAAATTTCAACTTCAACTTCATGTTGCATGGATCCACTCCCAGAACTATTGCTTTCCTTCCCAGTGAAGAGATTTTAACCACATCACCAACCTCAGGAAGCTTGGTCATTGCTGTTGTGAACATACTAAAGTTCAGGAGTTGTTGCTTAACATAAACGTTTAAGAAAGAACATGCTAGCACTAAGAGCTTCTTCCCAAGGAAACTTATACTTTCCTGAGTTTCGAAAAATATCTGATGGTTGTTTATTAATCTCAATATCTGAAGTAGTCGTATATCCAACAGGCTATCCCTTTTTATCTGCTGTAGTAAACTGGCTATCACATGTAGATAATTGTTTTTTATCTGCTGTAGCAGAATGAAGAGTTTGTGTTGCGTGTGCACGACGAAGCTGCCCTACTTTCTTGTTCAGTACCATGCTCCCTTACCTTCCTTCTGGCAAGCTTTAGTTTCTCATGAAGGTTTCTTGAGAGCCTTAAGATGATAAAAAGATACTAGATAGAGCATCAACAAATTTACAATCGCTGCTCTTTTTTGCCAGGGAGAACCAATATAACCGAGTCTCTAAAAACAAAGAAAAGGAAAGATGATCCATATTTCTATTGAAGAAAAAAAACCGACTTCACTAAATTTAATGGTCAGTGAAAAACACTCTTTACTGAAAAACTGGAGGAATAAAACAAGATCTAAAGCAACTTGAAAAGAAAAATATGCTCGTGGAAAATGGTCTCTGAGCCTTTCTAAATTAGAAGGTATGCATTGTTCTTGCGGTGCTTCCAATAGCGAGGATTGGGCATCGAGTCATTACTCTAAATGCATAATATATATTAATGAGCAGGTTCAGATATGGACAAGGAATAACTTGCTCCTTTATCGTCAAAAGATCTCCGTTGCGTACGAGGATAAACGCTTATTACTGAATCACACTCACAAATGAGGCAACAACTTCATTTATGATAGAAAAATTCATACGAAGTAAATTGGTTATACATGTTGAAGTAAACTCAATTCAGAAGGTCAATGAAAACAGCCACCAGCTGTCACCGCCCAGCCACCAATTGACCAGCCACCAACCGCCAGCCACCGGCCGCCAACCGCTTTCATATCGTCGGCCACAAACCGCCTTCACACTTGAAGGTTGAATTTTCTTATTTTGATTTCGTGTATAAATAGATAGCTAAGCTTATGCAATTATGTGTGGAGAGATTGAGAGAAGCACTAGAGAGAAAAAGAGAAAGAGAGAGGGATTGTTGTAAGCTTTTGTTTATGTTATTGTAAGCTTTGTTCTTGAAATAAAAGAGTGCGTTTTATCCCTTCCAAGTGTTTCAAAGCCACCACAAGTGGTTTCTCCCACCAACAATTGGTATCAGAG